TATTATTGTTGTTTATAATTTGTACAATTAACCTCCTTGTGGTTCGACCCCGGTCTTGCCGGGTTATTTATTACTTCGACACTCCTGCACTTGGGAGAAGACAACAATCTTTTAGTCGTGTCATCAACCTTACTTAACCTATAATCTGACTTGATGGTAAATGATCATGCAATGACCGATACTTTATTGTAAGTTGTGCACCCAATATTATAATGGTTCCTCAAAGTCTTTTAAAAGTTTAACAAACCTAGCTATATCTACATTTAGTTCTCCATCTAAAAGGATGTTACGTGAACATTCATTTAAATAACCATGATTCATTCTCATTGCATCCATCACCATACTTTTATAAGGATTACTATTATCATCTGCAAACTCATGTATGTTGCTAGAACTATAATTTTGAGTCAATCATCCTTTATAACATGGTTTCGTGAGGAACATAAGGTTCTCTGTGTGCATATCAAAATGAGTGCTTCTCAATGAATCCTTTTTTAAATAAATGCATCATTACAACATCTTTATAATGAGACTTTTTATTCTACACTTCATACATAGATATTTAATTTCACTTGCACTGATATTCTTTGGTTTATAAAATATAAATTAATAAAACCCTCAATCCTTTGAAAATGGTCTTGCGTACACAATCTTTTTTAAGTGAATCTCGATATATTCAAGAACGATCATTTATTACTTATGAAACCTATATAAAATAATATTAATTTTATCAATTCTATAAAAAATTATTTTTTCCTAATTGCCAGTTTCACAATAAAAATTAACAAAATATGATTGGTATCCATCAAAATAACCTATCATTTCTTCACTTATAACATTTTTAAATTACAAAATCAAATTTCATTTCATCAAATGATAACAAAATTTATTTATTTTTTCATATCCTAAACAAATCCTAGCATATAAATTATACATTAGTATGATAATTTTTTCTAAAAAAAATTATCAAACACTTAAATATACAAGAAAACTACAAATGTTATAAGAAATTTCAAGCAATTAACATGAAACATAAATGAGTTACAAAAAAAATAGACGAGTTTGGTTACTTTATGTATTGAAACTTCATAAAAAAATCAACAATGGATGATGACACTAGTTATATAGATGTAGATCAACGATGACGATATGAAGTTGTTAGATTTGTGAGAAATAAAAGGGGCTATTAGTATTTTTTTTGGCAGGAGAAAAAAGAATAAGAATGGGAGTTGTTGGTTATAACTTATTCATATTTGTCAACATAAATATTTTGTTGGCAATTTCATTAATAAATCATGACATGTTAGATTTCAGACAGAATTGTCGATGAAGTTTTTTTATAAATTTTTTATTATATCGGTAATTCTATTAGTAATTACTAAGATGTTTTCGTTGCTATTTATCAGTTTTCAATATTTTTATATCAAAATGTTGTATGAGAGATTAAAAGAATTATTTTAGTAGTCTTTTGGGTTAATTTATTAGTTAAAAAGTTGGATTTTCAATAATGATAGTTGTAAAAAAGTTCTAATCTAGGTATATCATAGTTAATAAATTAAAATCAAAATAAAAAAAAATATAAGGTGTGCCAATCTCAACCTATTATTTATTTAATATAATAATAAAAATAATAATTCTAAAATAAATTTCACCCAAATGATTAATACTTCACAAAACATTTGTAAAATTACAAGCAATTAAATTCTTCCCGAGTCCTTTTAAGCTTATACTCTCACTCAATTTATATATTTTTCTTAAATAAAAAATATAGTTTTAAACTTGCACTAGTCTACAAGATAGTCTAGAATTTGAACTAGTTTGATTTAAAAAATAAAAATATAACTTAATTTGATTAAATTTGTTCAGAGCTCGAGTTAGTAATAACTCGATAAATAGTAAAAATTAATAAAAATTTATTGATTTTTTTTAAATAATTAATTAAAATAATATCATTTTAATTTTTTAACCAGAAATAAAATTAACTCGCCCAATCGTTGTGTCAAATCCACTCCCAAGTTAAGGTTTTAAAACTATACTTTAAGACACTATATAAAGAGTTAGATCTTGGGAGTTCATTTTCCGTCTTAGGTTTAGATCCTAGAAAGCAGAGAATAAATACAAACACATGAAGAGAAAGGACCCAGAGGAGAAATGCAATCCAAGCAAAGCAAACATCAGCTAACGTATTGATCCATAAGAAAAAGCTCACGCTAAGCCATCCATCTTGCAAGAAAAAAACAATGGCAGACACACTCACAAATCTCACACCTGCTCTTCCTCTCAAATCTTTTCGCACTCTCTCTTCCCTTCGTGGCGTCCCCATTTGCTCAACTCAATTAAGCAACAATAGCAGCAGCAGCCTCAAGACAACTAGTACCTTCAGCAGGATCCTTAGCATCAATGGGCCAAAAAGATACAGACCCATGTCGGCTCGAGCTACGGACTCCTCCTCACCTTCTTCTTCCTTTGGATCCAGGCTCGAAGACGCCGTCAAGAAGACTGTGGCTGAGAACCCAGTTGTAGTTTACTCCAAAACTTGGTGTTCGTGAGTTCTACATGTCTTACTAAATTTTTATTTTTATTTTCAATTTTTTTTTGAAAGCTTGAGTTTTTAATGTTTTCTTCATATGGGTATAATTGAAGGTATTCTTCTGAGGTGAAGTCTTTGTTCAAGAGGCTAAATGTGGATCCATTAGTCGTTGAATTGGACGCATTAGGTATGTTTGGTTCATTTCTCTTTTACTTGATATTTTTTTTCTTTGATTTCTTGTTTATTAGGTGCTGCTGGTTCTTGGATAGGATAACTCGTGATTTAGGCTATTTTTAGATTCTTCCAATAAATTTGAGTTGTTACAAATTTTAACAGTACAAAGTTAACATTTTTTTTTCCATTTATGCATTGGATCTTTTTCTGGGAAATTTGATATAAGGTTATTAGGTTTTGAACTGGTGAAAATTGTTTTTTTTGTGTAATTTTTTAATTTTGTACAGGCGCTCAAGGACCCCAGATACAGAAAGTATTAGAGAGGCTCACAGGCCAACACACTGTTCCAAATGTGTTTATTGGTTAGTGGTGCTTTACTCTTTATTCTTTAACTGAGTAGTAGGAGGAAGACTATTTCGTTTGTTTGTAGCTTTCAGTGATTATGCAGATTTCAGGAAACTGGCATGGTGTCTGTCTTTGTTCTTCTTTGTTAGGATTAATGGAGTGAAAGTTTATGTTGACATGTGAAAAAGGTGTAGCAATTCTTTCTGATGTGGTTAATGAAATTGATGAGAGCAAGATGATTTTGTTTGGTGTGTGTGGAAGTGTGTTGTAATTTATTTCCACTGCAATAAGTTCTTTGTTCATGCTGATGCGTAACTTATTATAACATATTATAATTGGCCGACATAGAAATGTTTCTTGTGAGATTTGGATCTGTGTTGTTTCAATCAGATTGGTAATAGCAAGGCTTCATTCATACCTTGCTGCTCTTTTCAATGACAATTCCTTATGTTCTAGCATGTTCTTGTTATTGTACTTCAATGGAGGCTACTGCCTCCAACATCAAACAAATATCTGAGTGTTTGTGGTGATATCTACTTAATTATGGACTAATTTGAATATTTAAACCTGAAAATTTGGATTTATGTGCAAACAGTTCACTGTTCCTTTAGGGTAGTTGAGGTGTTGTGGGAAACAAAATGGTAGGAGATTTTGTTTAGCTGGTATAAACCTTAGCAGCGGTGCAAAGTGAACAAATTTATAAGTCAATGTGAATTCTGAATCACCTGTCCCAAAAACATGACTGGAAAATGAATCCCTTTTTTTCAGTAGAAAGTGAAAATGAACCAGAATGTTATGTGTTTCCTTTTGTTTATAGTTTTAAGAAATAGTATATTGTAGTTGCATTATTATGTCAAATTATACATTCTAAGTTAAGGTTCTATTTGCATATAGAGTTAGATGATCTACACCTTTCTCCTGAGAAATTTTCCTCTATGTTGTCAAAAGAAACAAGGGAATACTCCTTCCTCTTTCTGTTTTTTTCCCTGTCTAACTATGAAAAGTTTATCCATTCCTTTTTTTTTTAGGCCCTATTGTTTCTATCCTTTTATTCGATTTTCACTGCCATCAGATGCTCACATTTCTGTTTTTCTACATGATCAGGGGGCAATCATATTGGTGGCTGCACAGGTATTATTTGTAGTTGTTTTAAGAATTATCTTGTTCAATTAATTTACTATGATTGCATGTTAAGGATACCAATGATTCATAAGATAGTTCCCGAGTGTCAACAAACCATCTTTTCTCCACAGATTCTTAAAAATCTCTAAATCAGCTGTGTTTCTCTGAATATCATCTGTCCACAAGCTTCCCAAGATTTTGATTAAATATATTTGATGTTCTGTTAATGAATCAACTGCGTATTTTCTACACCATTCGCCTTAATTGTGGATGTGTAATAGATTTGGGTATTTGAATGAACTTTCAGTTCCTTTAAGTAGGCATTGATATTTTCTTTGAGGTTCGCTTGGTGGTCATGATGCTATGTGAAAGGCAGGCCAAGTTTCGACTCTGATGTCTGGTTTATGTCCTCACGCAGATACTGTGAAACTATACCGGAAAGGTGAACTTGAACCGCTGTTGTCAGAAGCTAATGCTAAAAAGTCACAGGGTTAGCCTTGCCATTTGTCCATGAAGAACCTTGTCATTTGTCTTTGAAGAACCTTGTCATTTGTCCATGAAGAATTCAATTCCCAAGCTCAACCCTAGATTGTTTCTGAAGATACCCCACACCACATTTCTGCTTCTTCATGGCCTTTTTTTGTTTACTTCATTGACATAGATTTAATTTCAAGTTATTTATATGGATCTCTTTCGTTGAATTGTATATTGAATTCACAAAAGTCGTTACATAAATGCACTGTGAGCCTTGTTTAATAGTCATCCACGTCAAAACTCGTGGCAATGTTTCAATGCTAAGTGGATTGCTCTTGCGTTTAGCCCAGTGAGGCCACCAGCACCCGCCGAGAGGCTATGGATGTAAGAACGGTTTTCCGCTGGCTGTGGATGTGTGATACTGAAACGTGGCATTGGAGTGCATTAGCCTCCATCAACTCAGGACTTTGCATCTCAAGGAGAAGCTCTCTGGTTTCGAAGTGGTAGTTGCAATCATGTTTAGGGCTCTTGCTCTTGCAGTGGTAACATCTCATTCTGATCTCACCTCAAACTGGCTGAAACGAAGTGGGCTCCACACAAGGCATAAGGGCTTATAATTGAAGTTAAATAAACTCTTTACTATAATCATACATAAATTTAATATATGATGTTTCCTGCGATGGAAGTTTTCAATCTTCATTACTAGAAGCATCCATCTAGGTGGAAAAATACAAATAATTGTCTATGATTTTGCTAGTGCCATAAACATCTGCCTTAGACTTTTGAAATAACATTTCATCATAATCAGGAAGGTTCTCTTCGATGATGGCAACTTCCTTGAAATTCTGACTCCATAGATGTAAACGAGGGAAGCTACCAGGTTCCAGCAGCTTGACACCAACTGCTTCCTCCATGGGTTGACGCCAGCCAGCTATCCATCCAAAGGCTGTGTCAGTCATTCAAACTTTGTCACCCCCAAAAAATTTCTTGTCACCAAGGCCAAGCTCTTCTATGATTCCTAGCAGTTCTTTGAATTCTTTTGTTGCCTTCTCTTGTTCCTCTCCAACAGTTTGAAAGAAGGCAAAAGACGTTGGGCTCCATAGCGCACAAACATGTACAGAATTACAGACAAGTAAAGAAAAAGAGACTTCAGATCAGTAAGGGAGGTATATACCTTGTCCTTTCCAAACATGGTTCAGAACCTAGCCATAGCTCTCTCATAAGGATCTTCTGAGAGCAAGGGATTCTGTGGCCATGTCTCTTCTATGTACTCAAGAATGATAGTGGACTCTGCTATTGGCTCTCCACCATGGATTAACACCGGGATCTTTTTGTGAACTGGGTTATACTGTAGAAGCAACTCACTTTTGATGGAGAGATTCTCTTCTACAAATTCATAACTGACTCCCTTGAGTTACAGAGCCCAAAGAACTCTGTAACTGAATATACTAGGCCAAGCTCCTAGTAGCTTCACTTCTTCCATATTTTGCTAGGATGCTGCCTTCCCCACCTCAGTTTACAGTGGTCAGGTAGGATGATATTGCTTGGGAATTACGTTTCTTGATTCAAAGATTTATTTAAATTTCCCCCCTGCAGGCTGCTTTGACTAATAACAACTCCATTTTGCTTGACCAGATTATAAAATTTAACCTGTAAGTGTTCAGAAATGTTTGCTTTTGACTTGATAATCTTAAAATATAGAAAACTCTTGACTTTTGGCCCTCCATCAATTCTTTTCTTATAATTCGTTAATCAAGAGAAGATAAACGGTTTCTTCAATGGCTTAAAGCCACCATGCAATCCATCATTTCATTGCCACCACGTAGTAAACTAATTGATTAGTTATATGTGATATTATTATATTAATAAAAATATATATTTATTATTAATAAAAATTTAATTTATTTTTAATATTTATATAATATTAGAGTAACAAATCTAATATTTGATTTATAAATCTAGAGTAAAAATAAAGTTTATAGAACAAAAATATTTTACAAAGAAATTATAAAATTGTTATAATTACAAAACTTTTATTATATCAAAGCATTGTTTCTAAAATGTTCTTAGTCAATATTCTCTTAAATACCAGATATTTATTAAATTCGTAGAAACTAATACATATTATGTTCATTTTTTATTATAGGAAGTAATTATTCTCGTAAGTTAAGGTATAAGTGATATCTAAAATTAATATGTAGGTGCTTATCATAAAACAAGTATACTAAACCGACCCACATAAGAATTCCATATGAAAAGAACATTTATATCTATGTAAAGGCTCACGTGACAGTTGTGTAAGTGATTCTTAGATTTCAGATTGTTAAGTTATCTTATATAGAAAATATTATGTCTTGATCTTGTTATATGTTATATTAATCGATATAATGAATGGGCAAATATTGGGTATAACATGAATTATATGGAAGTATTTGAATGATCAAGAGAGGATTCATCATCTTCTGTAAATTAAGAAAAATGTTCTGTCTATTTTAAAATAATATTGACTGATAAATCATTGGTCAAGATGGAATGAAAGTTGAAAAGAGTTTTAAATATTATTTAAACAATCAATAACTATTACATAGAGAATAAACATGATTTAATATAGCGTGTTAAATCTATTAATAAAAAGATATTAACTGCACTGAGAAACCAACCACTTAAAAATTAAGTCAAATCACCTATGAATTTTCTAATATTTGGAGATCATAACATGTTACTACACGATACATCTGAACTTCAGATATAAATTAAAAAATTATTGAATTAATAACAAATTAAATTGTTTAATTTATTTAATTTATTTAATTATAATTTATATTTGGACTACCATTTTAAGAACCTAATGGGTCACATACATTAAGAATTATTAGTCAGAAATTAAAGTAGGATGATTTAATTAAATATGATTTGATTAAAATATATTTTAGAAATTAAGGACTAGAATATAATTAATACATCTAGACCTAGAAAAATCTAGTAAGGACTTAATTGAGTTAATTAATTTCTAAAATTATCATGAATTAATATATGAATATTATTTAAGAAACAAATTGATATTTTACTAATTTATAGAGGTTTTTAAATTTTTTTATAAATAGTAATTTATGTCTTTTATTTTTCAGTTGTTGTCTATTAAACATAAAAACTATACAAATTATAGAATAAAAAGTTAGTATTCTAAATATAGCAATCTCACTTTTTTAAATAGAAACTTAAAAGATTTTTCACTTATAATTCATATATATTACTATTAGAAACTAAAAAATTAAACAACATATGATTTAGAACACCTCAACTTTTAAAAAATAAATAAATAATAAATTACTATACAACTCTATATTTATTTAACAATATTTATTTAACAATGTAAAACCTCTCGCATAATTAAATAGCGTCTTGTGGGACCAAAGGATTGTGCGGCCATATCTCCTCAGTGCACTGAAGAATAACAGGTGATTCCGAGATGGGTTTCTCGCAATGCACAAGCACTCCTCTTGAATGTACTCATATTTTACACCTTTTAGTGTCAAAGCCCATAATACCTTGAAATCAAATTTTTTGCTCTATGGTCTCAGTAAGAAATCATGCCAGAAAAATGTTTCTTTGTTGTTTTCAAGTTTTGTTCTCTCTCGTTGTGATTCCATGCATATCAAATTGCAGCTAGTTAGATGAACAGAAGAAGCTGGCTGGCATCTTCCCTGAATCTCCCATGTATACATTCTTCCATTCCCTCAACTTTTTCTAGTGCAAGATAATGCAAGGATTAACTCTTGCAAATCAGTTTCTTCTCACGGCATGAATATCTTTACATTGCACTATGTCAGATGGTTATGAGAATGTGAAGCATGCTTTAAGAAATCAGTTCTTCTGTAATGTGCTATATATATGAGTATGTGTGCGTGTTTGTGGCAAAACAAAAGGACAATCTGTTGTATGCAGAGACAATCAAGTGCACTTGTTGAAAGTTCTCCAAACTTGTATTGTTCTGATTATAGTGAAATTTTCTCTTCTTCGCTTGTGGATATTGACATAGATGAAACACGTAAAATCTTTATCTCGTGCGACTGTTTTCTTTCTATTTGCTGTGATGTTCTTTCTATTTGTGTGATCCTTAACATTCTGTTTTCCCTTTATTTGTATATAGAAGTTAGGATGGTGCTTGCACTATAAATCTTCATTTTCTGAGTAAGTTCCGTCCTGCAGGTATTCGTCTCTACGTATGGATGGCCGTGTCCATAGAAGTGGTGCTGGTTATACTTCTTGGAATGCTTTCGTCGCCCAACTGCCACCAGCAAAAGGAATGCGGTCAGGTCTTCTTGATGGCATGGTTGTAAAAGTTCTTTAAATAGTTCTATTTTTCCAGAAACCCTGGGTTAGCTGATCATCATTTACTGTGGAATACATTATCTCCATGCTCACAGCAATACTTACATAACAAAATATTTGATTACCCCTGCAAAAAATAATGAACTAGAGCAGGAGAGCAGTTATTGCTGGTGATCATACATTTTTCTACTGCAACATCTACTTTTATCACATGTCCTTGCCCAGAAGCAATTTTCTGTTGAATCCTTGACATCTTGTTCTCCTCACCTCTTAAATCCAAGCAGAATTTAGGTCTAACCTTTTTTTCCTTTTCTTTTACTTAAACCAAACTGCTGCAGCTGACCTCGCTGATCTTTCTTCTGAAAATTCTGGACTTGTCACGACTCACCACCATTACTAATTTGTTCTATGGATTCCACAATTTCATTCTTTTTCCACAGGGCTGGACAGTACATCTGTCAGGATTTTCATTTCACATAGTGGAGCATGCATTTCCAGATTGACTCGCTGCCCAACAATATGTACGAAGCTTATGGCCTCGAACAATAAATTGGAAGTGATGGCATCGATGCCTGCATAAGCTTAAGGGTTTTTTGCATTTCGGGATTCTGGTTTTCATCGCTGCTCATATGTACTTTGTACGGACATAACAGAGGGAAACGAAGAATCTAAAAGCACTACGAGTCTACAAGCTTATCCGATTTCAGCACATATTATTCATCGAGTTTCTTCCTATGATGATTTCTGAATTATTAAGAGGCCTTGTTTTCTTCAAGAAACATCACAGATTGTGTTATGAAGCTCCTTACTGACTCAAATTTCCACATTTTATCACCTCTACCATACAATTTAACCAGATTTGTAGAATTATCAACCCTACTCTCTTTCGGAAAAGCAGGATAGAGATTGTGACTCCATTGTGGTCAGAAAATCAGTACAAATTGCAGCC